CTGGAGTAGAACCCCTTCCAAGGACTTAAAACCATCAAGTTTATTTTTGCATGAGATGTGACGTTTTCAATTATGTTTAATACTCAAAAAACAGTGAATTGATGCAGTTAAAAAAACTAACTATTCGAAACAAAAAAGGGAATAGAAGTAAGAAAGTCGAGGATCAGCGAAAAATAAAATTATGAACAAACAAATGCTAGAAATGATAAACTCCGATTCCCTACATGAAACTACGGCTTATAAAAACTCACATCTTCATATAAATTAAAACTACTCTAAAACTAGTCGGTTTCCGTTTCGTGTCATTTTTTTAGTTTCCGCGAAATTCATGATATAAACATTAAATGATCTGGTTTTTTCTACAGAGCAAAAAGACTTGCAGTTCTGGTGTTCAAATGGCTGGTGAGCGCTGTGATAGATTACTACTTTCTTTTGTTTTGCTTTCAAATTGTTTTCAATAGTGTATCTCAAGACATTGTATAACCTTTCTACTATATAAAAATGAAAGATTTTCATCTGTATTAACGATACGGGGACAAGGTAAGTAAATTTAGATACTCGTTCAAAGCCTGTCGGAATACTTTTCAAGCAACTGTTTTATTAATTTATTTGAAATCACATTTCAAAATAACAAAATACCTCGTCAGCTTCTCAAAACATACACAAAATAACATATGTTCTCTTTATTTGTCTAGGAGTTTCCTTCTCTTCCTATTGATATAGACGGAGTTGAGGTTGAAAATTACCAATAAATTATATTTCCTATACATTTAAAAATACTTGCAATGTAAAAAAAAAACTATGGAAAGTTTGTCATCTACTTAACGATTGCTGTACCGTCCGTTTTGATGACTTTTCCTGAATCACCTGGAAAATAAGAGATATCAAATTAATAAAAATTCATAAAAGAGAAAATTATATATCAAATCCGAGTTTATTAATTCCATAAATCCCACATAACAGACTTACACAAACAACAAATTTACTAGATAAAAATACAGGAAGCATGACGTGGAACACAACTGCAAACTCTTCATTTTGTCAATTAAGTTTAGCGTCACACAACTTAGTTCATCTAATCATTCCATGTTAGAGGTTTCAGTGCTCTCAGCATAGGATAACCAATTTTTGAATCCTAATAATGAAATCAATAAAACCCGAAACATTGCCAAGAGAATAGTAGCTTTTTTTACAATTAAATTTATCTGTATCCCAATCAATCAAGAAGTGATGAACTTACTTTCTGAGCCTTCTTGTTCTCCTCCAGAACGACGACGTTTACGAGCTATTCTATCTCGCCTGAATCCTTTTTGTGGAGAAGGTAAGGGGTCCATCCCTAATACCTTAAATAAAAACATAAATCATTCGTTTGAAGAAAATTTCCAACAGAGTTTTCTGATATTTGAAAAAATCCACAATAGACTAATGCTATATACACTTGATACACAATTGACAACAGTTCAAACTGTCGATTATAATATTTCTTTAAACTGCGTTTGTATTAACTATTTATTTGAAATTTTAATTAATACTGACTTTTGTTTATTTACTGCATTGCCTTTTTTTTACAAAATACTTAATAAATTCAAACATATGTACTGTAGCATTTCTAAATTTATATAAATGTGTTTGCAAGTCTCAAAATTCTACCTATAGGCTCATTCTGACCAGTTGGTATGATAAAAGATTACTTTGATGATTTCTTTATTTCCTGTCGTCTTTCGATTCACATCTGAAGTTATAGGTTCAAAAAGTTCCAAGGAATTAATTATTTATTATTATTTTGTAAATTAGTCTCAGTCGTTCTATTCTCGTGCCTTACCTTGTAAATCTGCCTGTAAGCAATTAACCTAAGAGCGTATTGAGCCGAACACGTAAGATCTTCGCGTTGTTGGGCGTTCAACCCAGCCGTAGCATCAGGATTGTCCTTTTCGCAGGGATCAGCCAATCCAGGTCCTCCCGGCAAGAGTAAACCGCTGGCGACAGCCTCCATAACCCTTCGAAGAGCGTCTCCAGGCGAAAGTTGCGCTGACGCAGGCACCGAGGATATAACTTTCTCGGCTAGCAGCTCCATAGCCTACAGAAATGTTTGAATTATTGAATACTAGTAAAAGTATAAAAGCAAAGTAAAAGTAGGTGAGGTAAATCATCTGATGGCAATCAAAATTTATCCAAAACAATCGACAGTGTCAAAATTGTATTTATATGTCAAATTTGAGTTAATTTAATTTATTTTTATTTTCTTTATTCAATACAAAAACTTTCAAATAGAACATATGCTGTTATAAAGAAGTTAACAAAAATGTTTGAGAAAAAATTAATATTTTGTGTCCGTCATTTATAACACTGTAGGTTTTGGTAGAATATTTTATAGTTTTGGTCTATTTCTTCCAACATTCATTCTAGTATATTTTGAATGAAAGGCTTTTCAAATCCTTCAGTTCTTTGTCAAAAGGATTTTGGTAACGCACAATTTTGTGTAAATTTATTAATTAATTTACAAATGCTTACTTTCTGTTAACAAATATGATACCAGATATAGAACTCTTATAGGGCCTTTATTTTGCTTATCCAAGAATATCAAATATTACATATTTTTGTCTATTATTACTTTCGGATCTCAAAAGAGTGGAACTAAAACTTNCAATTAGCAAAAAAGTATATATTTGAAGTAGACAGAATCAAGTGTGGCTAAAATTAGTTGAATTTAAAATACAGGAATGAAAAAAAATATAGTGGTATTATTCAACAGCCAAAAATGAATACTAAAAAAAAAACTATATTTAATATGCATACATTGTGTCCAAGTAAATAAGTTTTCTTAGTTACCTATTTCTCACCTTGCATTTTGAAATGTTTTTACCTTCATATACGTTCATTTATAATTTTGGAGGCACACAGAAAGTTTGTCCTAGGTCTAAGCAATAAACAGTACTAGATACTATTAGAATTACACAACCTTTGCTGTCGTTCATGAAATCTTCATTGTATAATGAATAAGAATACAGAAAGTTTCAAATATTTTCATAAATAACTAAAAAAGTTGAAAATTTCTCCTCAGTGTTACTGGTCTAAAGAAACATGATCGTTAACTATGACCAACAGGCATAAATATAATTTATATATATTTGATTGTAGATAATTGAAAACAAAAAAAACTTTTCTCTTTTGTGTGTGTAAATGCATATATATGAACTTGACGTTCGAAGCCACAATAGATCTTGTTTTATATATTATCAATGGTAACGCCACCAAATAAAAAAAGGCTTTGAATGGTTCAGGACATTCCACGTCATTCGGCAGAGTTCTGGACATTTTCTGAATGCTCCAAACTATCTCTGAACATACCACAATATTCTAGAATGTTCTGGTATGCTCTCAAATTTCTAGAGGGTACGTCCTTGAGGTAGAAACGGAAAATTTCTTCATAGACGGGGGATAGAGGGCTACCACATCATATCACTAGTCATACCTCTTTAACTCGTCATAAATGTGTATTGTATGCCTGATATGATTAAATAATGTCTGTCTGTCTATTTATAATTCTCTGACCTGATTATGAGACAAATTTTATAATATATATTGATTATTATTTTTATCGTCAGTTGTTAATCACAACAAAAGAAGTTTGCTTTGTGTTATAATAGAAACCAGAATAAGTGCTACGATTATCTATTATTTTTTACATGAATTTATTTGAATGCCCAACAGTGATATGAAGAACAAAACTTGTTGAAGAATGTAAGAGTCCTTGATTGCAAAAAGGGAATTCGCATACTTAAGCTAGCGATCGTCAAACCTATCAGTAAACTTTCTTCCAACAACCGTTTATATATCTCTCTGCCAAAGGAAAAACTTTCTTTGGATTCATTTCCACCATTCGTCATAAAACCGAACTTTGTGCTTATACGCATTGTGATAAGAGACACAAACCTGGAACCATTTGGTATGTCTGAGGGCTGCCAGCGCCTGGAGACACTTGCCGCGTGAGAGAACATCCCGGTCGAACCCGCCGCTCGCAGCTTCTAGACATCAAAGAAAGGGTGTTTGACCATCAGTAGCTCACCACCGCCACGCTACCGACATCCCTCGTGTGTCACTCACGGGGAGGAAGGGGTGGCAGCAATGAGCAGGTTAGTTGGTCAAAAATCCTTAGTCCCACACCACCTAAAATCAACCTCTAAAACAGCCATATGGCACAGTACATTTTTTTATAAGTATTGGACTGGAATAGACGATTTTGTCCATCCAATTTCATTTCGCAAACATGTCACATTACAGATTAGATGGAAACCAAATGTGGTGTTCCTCGAAGTGGCACATCGGACCCACTGCCATAGACTGTATTGAAATAATCTTCTCGAGTCGTTAGAAATATTGAAAAAATCTGGAAAATTAACGGTAATTGGATGAACATATCAACCACAAACCAAACAATAAATATTGCATTTTATTGTCTGTCAGTGCTGTCCCTGAGAGTCTTCTTATCTTGTAAGTATCAGTCGCCCACGTCTGATAAACTCCATGTTTACAGCGACTGATACACACTGTAGATAAAACTGTAAAAAAGTCCAATATTTATTAGCGAACATCAAGGTTTAAGCTGTATGAAACGAGACATTTAACATTTTATATACAAATACTCAATTAATTGTTGTTTCTCTAAAGTTATATGCGACAACAAACACTTACGTAGGAAAAAAGATACATTGGAGCACCTACCAGCTGTCCAAATCTTAAGTATGTTTCAAAAGTTAACTTCTGCCATTTGATTATTTTATATAAAACAGATATTCTAATACTATACAACTAATAAGACATAAAAAATTGATAAGGAATAACCGATAATAGTCAACTCCTTTCTGATAGCTGATTTTTTTTGTTATATTGTCTTGATCTATAATCATGCCATTCAACTTTCAAACATTTATAGTGTAAAATTAAAATTTTTGCAACAAAATCATCAAACCAAATTGTTACTTTCAAAACACAATTTTAGATGTTTTTGAAAAAAAAAATCTAAGAACTATCTGCATTTCATTTTGAAATCCCAAAGTAATAATTCGATCACTCTATACCTTTAAAATATCAAAAGGAACAAAAAGTGGGGGTCGCCCCAAAGTTATCTCTCATTTACTAATATAACAAAGTGGGGAGTGGCTAAAGTGACGTGTCACCTACTTTCGTAGACGAAAGCAATATTTGGCCTTTATTTAAAAGAAAAATTCCGAACAAACATACTCATAAAACCAGATTACATTACCAGGCTTTATCCAAATTAATAGTTGCTTTCGGTGATTCAGCCGAAAGAGACCATAAAGACCCGTCATTGAAGAAAACCAGCTTAAACCCTGCACAGTACTGTACACGCACATTCACGCACTTCTCCTCTCAATTAGGTTACCTTGTTGTTCTCTAATGACTGGACTCGTAAACTGCACAAGGACAGTTAGGTTGTCGTCTCCTCCGCCGATGACGAGACCCGCTTCACCAGCGTTAATGGTAACACTGTAGGGACGATCTGGGGCGACCGTTTTTAAAGCGGGTGGCAGCAGCTCGACGACCTTCTTCAGAAGGGTGAGAGTCGGCTTGTCGGCGCACAACACCACCAGTTCTACGTTTGAGTCACCTTGTAGAATAAGACCCTTGACAAGGTGGCCCACTCTCATAACGCCTTTCAGGATTCTGTTTGTGTCGCGATCTTGTTGGAAAGAAAACCTAGAAAAGACAAGTTTGTATTTGAAATAGCTATTTATACCAGTGCAGTTTCTTCATAGTAGGTCAATACGTTTAACCTGATTTTTAAAAGAGTACAAGGATGAGTCAAACAAATCAATATAGCTGCTGTTCTTATTTGCTAACCTAAGCATTCTAGTGATGGTTTCATTTAGGCCATAGCTAGTAGAATGGTAAGGAACTTTAAACAACTCCGACACTCTGGTTCTTCTTGAATTTACATTAAAGTTAATCATTTGTGTTAGAAATGGACAGTTCATATCACCATTTATCTGAGTACTCAGATAACCCAGCTTAAATGCACATGATCTCAGAAATTAGTTTTGTACTTTCTCAATCATACATATATTTGTCTGATATAGAGGACTCCATATCACACAATTATTTTCCAAGACCGAGTGTACCAAGGAACGGTACAATATTTTAAAGGTATTCATAGAAAATTTATCTGTAGATCGTTGAACAAATCCCAATAATTTGAGTGATTTAGATGTAATGGGATTTAAAGGTTACTTTGCTATCAAACAACACTCCCAAGTCCCGAACGCTGTTAGTCGACGTTAGATTAATGTTTTTGATTTTATATGGATATACAATATGTTTCACAGCTCTCTAATTGGCAACGACAGGTGGTTATACACTTTTAGCCTATTATAATATTTCAATAATACCGTTAGTTAGTAATGGCAGTTTGAAATATTATATTTTATTTTCGATTCTTATAAACATATGAGGTATTCTTAAATCTTTCTTGATTGCTATAACCAACCTGGCAGTCTTCAAGACCAAAAGGGATCAAACTGCCAATATTCTATTACTTGTAAATATTTGTCAGTGAGCTCTAACAGCTCCTTTTTGTTTAACTAAAACAACTTTTGCTTAAGTTGCTTAGACCATACTTCCCAAAATTCAATTCCATATCATAAATGAAATTCTACGAGTACATAATAAATTTAGCAGTCTTGTATCCCACTTCCTTGGCAATCTTTTTCAAAACAGCATAGGGAAAATAGTTGTTGCATAGTTGTTCTATATTTCAATGTTCGAGCTTTAAGTTTGTACTTGTAAAAAGTTCAATTGTATATAAATAGAACTAATACTCACAGTTGGTTGTCCCGTCCATCTTCTTTATTAACTTCCGGTTTATCTTCGGCTTTAGTACCAGCATCTGGTTTAACTCCAGCTTTGGCATCTTTCGGTTTACCATCGGCCATCTGGTCGGATACAATTTTGAGCGCCCGTTCTGTGTGAGAAACTATACGTTGTATAGCCTGTAACTCTTCCTCTTTCGGGTAAATCTCCGAATGACGTGCCATAACGTGTTTGTCATCATTGGATTCCTGTCTGCGGGGCATGCCCCCTTCAAAGAACTGAAATTCAAAACATATGAAAGAATAACTCAAGGCGGGGATTCACTCAACATACCGGTGGCGGCGGTGGGGCTCCAGGAAAAGGTCGACCTCTCGGGTAAGGTCCCATGTTACCATGTGAAACCATTGCCATATACTCTTCTTCGTATCGTCGACGCTCATCCCAATACATATTTTCTGCATTCTCTGCATAATGTCGTCTCGCCCAAAATTCTTCTCTCATTGCCTAAAAAATATCAAGTTTATTGCCTAAGAGTAACTGAAGAGAAGTAACGAAAAAGATAATTGCAAAGACAACTAATTATTCAAAAAAATTACAAAAGACCCTAAGAGAAAAGTAAAATTATATGAATAAAAGTGGGGGACAATAAGAAAATATCTCAAAGTACTTGAAAAGAATAAAACAAATTGTTGGAAATAAGTGCTCTTCACAAAACAGTGGACACGTTTGTGGAAAGGTTTTAAAAGTAACGTGAAAAAGGCTGCCAATGAGAGATCAATAAGCTTCTTAATAAAAATGCAGCCAGTTCTCAAATAGTAGTAGAAAGTCATTACAGGACCAAAAATGCAAAACTGAATAAAGTAACACACATCATAGTGAATGTTAAGATATAAGCTTGTTAGAGGAAAGAAAATACAAAAAATGCATACAAATAAAAAAGTATTAACAAAATGTGTACTGTTTGAAATCGCAAAACCAAAATTCATTTCATCTTCAATAAACCTTGGGTGAAGTGTTTCATGGTTCTCTACGACGCGTCTAAAACATCATTGAACATTTAAATGGTTCAACAAAAGGAACAACCGTCGATGTCAGCAAAGATGAGAAAGCAAAACGAGCGCAACTTACGGCTCTACGCATTTTTTCTTCTTGAATCTTCCTCTGCCTAAGGGAAGGTTTGACATCCACCACAAGATCTGGATTTACTTTCTTCTTATACTGCAATCTGTGGCGCCTTCCTTTCATATGCATTTCTTTTGCATTGGGATCATTGAATCTGCATTCACACAACTTACAGTTGAAACTAATAACCTAAAATATATATAAATTAGCCAATTGTCAAAAAACACTGACCGACGATAACTCACAAACTTGCCATCGTCACTCTTGATCTCTTCAATGTAGTCCTGACCAACTGGCTGAATGTCTGGTTCAGGGACGTCATCATCTTCCTCTTTCAGCAAAGAATCGCCATTGCCAGAATTGATGCCCAATCCACCAGACTGAATGAAATTTATTTTCGAAGTTGAGGATACAGACTTTTTGGAGCCTCCCACCACCTCGGGCTCTTGAGTCGGAATAGGTTTGCCCAATTTGGTGTGAAGCAGAACTACTTTCTGATGTTTTGCTCCTCGAATGTGGGCAGCATATGCATCGTTACCTGGAACGATTCATTTGTGTGGTTACTGGTTTCACGAGTTTTCACATGTCAAAAAATAAACACCTAGACTTGAGGTAACGATTCATTACATATGCTTCATCAATATCTGATGTGATGAAATACATACTTTTATATACTGCCAGTTAATGTTGACGCTCAGTGAGAGCTTTTGTTTTGATGATACCTTGCACTCAGTACAGAGATATACTAACATCGCAGTCAAATTCGGTATTTGAGGACGTACCTCTTTTGTTTGACAATTCAATGCAGTTCATCATTCTAAAAATTCACAGATTAGATCTCTACACAAATAGTTGTTTTCAAAACTGATGAACTGGGGCCATTTTACATTTCATATCAATTAAATTTAAAATAGTTCTGTCTAATGTTAGGCATACTGCAATATTTAAATTGCTGGATACCGGAGTTGGAATATGGAATGTATAATGCAACGTATTTATAATAATTGAAGAGTACTAACAAATTCCATAAAATTGACTCAAAATCAAAACATGTGGTTATCTTTTACCTTATTTCATAAAAGCCTTTATTTATTGAAAGGTTATGTTGAAGTAGCCATGTCATTTCATTACTTGGTCAATTTATTTCAAATGCAGAAATTGATAACGCATATGCAAAGATCTACTGAACATACTATAGGTAATTTTCAATTTGGAAACTTAATAAAAAGGAAAAAATGTTTTCACTATATCCTCTACTTTCGGCACAGACAAAACTATCAAGAAAATTTTGGCAGCTTCCTAGCGGGAAATTTAATCTACCCCATCTAATTGATCTGGCACTCTACATGAAAATCAAAATCTAGAAGAGTGTGGCGTTAGGGTTTTTTTTTCAAATATATGTTGTTCTTAAAATTGAATAATTCAACTGATGAATTTTATTGCAGATATTTTACCTGTACATGTGACATCACACAACTGACATCTAAGAGAATTTCCTGCACGATTTTGACTAGTAACAGCTACAGAGGCGGCCATTTTGGTTGCAGCCTCGCGTTTTTTATGTTTTTGTCCTTCTAAATGTTCTCGGTACGTTTGAGGACCAGCACAACTGAAATTTTGAATAACAAATGAGTTAAATATAATTCTTTCCACTAACTAAATAAATCAATAGTAAGGCTCAACTCTTTCAGGTTTTAAAGAGCATTTTGAATAATTATCCAGAAAACTTACAATAATACCATTACAAACTTTTGTAATTTCGTTTTACAACATTTTCTCGGGTGCATACAAAAAAATCAAGTTCCCCGACCAGGCAGATGAACATACATGGTTATATTACTGAAGAGTAAGATCAGAAATTGTAACTAAACTGCTACAAGCAACTATGATTCAATCCAGTAGAATAAAATTTATTTTACTCATTTGTAAATGAAAATAATCAATGATATCCAATTTATTCATTGGTTTTACAAATTACAGTGAAAGTAATATAAAACACGTCACAAATTACACATAGGTGGACATTTCACATTTGAAACTGACAATTTCAAAAATAGAGTAAGTAAATTAAAATATATATTATTGAATGAAAGTATCCAATTAGCTGGAATAGAATTCCTCAATATACTAAAACATTTTCGACAACAGAAAAGTTTTGAGATGCTTTCTGAATTTAAAGTCAATAGTTTCCTTTTAATCGATATTACCTTATCTTGCAAACATCACAATAGTGCAACTGCTGAGGTTTCGGAGGGGCCTTTGTCCTCATATTCTTGACTGCGAGCGCCCCCTTTTTGTAACCCTGCCACCCGGCTTTCTGTTGTACTCCAGTCTGTTGAGCGACATACATCGTGGCAGCAGAATATAACGCGGCGTCATATCCTGCATACGTCGGTGCAGAATTAATTTCTAGAGAAAGGTAAACTGTACAGATGAAAAACATAAATGTTTGTTGGATATCCACCAAAAAATTTCATTACACTTTTTCTACATTAGTATAAAATGTATCCCTTTATTAGATGAATGGTGGACATCCTATCAGATGCAATTTGCTAATGACCTTAGCAGTGGATTACATTACATGAAAAATAAATGAATAATCGAGAAAAAAATCTTACGCTTTGCTTGTGTTGTAGGTTGAGCAGCAATTGTTGTCTGAACGGCAGGCTGGGCATATGTTGTTGGATAGCCTGTAGGATTCGCTTGGTATGTTGCTGTATATTGTGCTGGTTTTGCAGCTGATACAGCAGTCTAAAACAATCATTAACTGTTTAATAAGAGAAAGGAGTAATTTGTTGGATTGTTAGTTTTTCAGTTCTCTATGATGAAGATATAACTTTTATTAAGAGTAATGACACATTAACTTAGAAAAGAATGGTTTACAGCTGTGATATCATTCAGTAACATTTTCGGAACACTTTTAGCCCACCCAAAAACACTAATTATTTCGATAATATACACATATTAATTAATACAATGAATTTTTTGTACAATCAACACTTCCAAAAATCAATTTATCTGAAAACTGTAGTTTGAAAATACAAATTGATGGAATATTTGCCCCCATGTGTTACTGTTTATATCATTTACATAATACAGTTGAGAAGTCTGTTCTACTCATCTATTATCATACCCAAATACAGTCCGTTTTTTCAAATGGTATACTAGCCAGAGGCTGCTCACATGAGTGTTAGGCCTCTTTTATGCACGTGCAGTACTGAATAAATGGGAATCGAGGCGCCCCTAGTAGATTTTTCAATTGTTGATGTATTTCAATGAGTTTTTGACATTTTCATTCAATTTTACTTAATTTTTTATAATTAATCAATGAAAAAAATTTGCAGGTAGTGTAAAACTTCAAAAAACTTGATTATTCAAATACTTACCGCTACCTGTGCCTGAGGTTGCGTCACTCTTTGAGGGTAAGTGGTTGCATATGTAGCAGGTTTGGCAACAGCGGCAGCAGCTGCTGCTGCAGCCTGATCGTATCCAGTGGTATAACCAGTTGCTTGTCCTGTTGGAATAAAAGATCGTATTACTTTGGTAATTTCTTCATGTACAAACATTTACAAAATTTCATTTTGTTTTTACATATTTTTGACTGCTTCTCGTGGGGAAAATTACTATTTTTCATAGGCAAAATGAAACGGCAATAATGAAATGCCCAATCAATTTCAATGAAATCACCAAGTAGTAATATTTCTTTAATTTTTATTGAAGAATTTTCAACTCTGAAGTATAAGGAACAGAATACAATATGTAGATGAAACATACAACTTTCACTTTATTTTTGTGATGAGCAGAGAAAAATACTTCAAGAGTACATGAAAAAACTTCTTGCAAATAGTGAGGTATCATTGAAATTAAATATAATTTTGAGAATCTTTTTTAATTACCGTATCCATAATCATATGCGGGTGCAGCAGTTGCGTAAGTTCCTTGAGATGCAGCTGCAGCAGCCTGATAGGCTGCGGTATCATATGTGGCCCTTTGGGTACCGTAAGTAGCAGCAGCTGATGCTGGAGTTGCTACCGCATATCCCGCTTGTCCGGTTTGGTAAGCACCAGTAGCAGCCGCACTGAAAATCAATATAAATGTTTCAAAGACACATTCAAAATTCATCTTCTTATAATTTTTTTCAATTCAATTTCAACTTCATTTCGATATTTCAAACATACTCTGTCAAGATAGACAATATTCAACAAATATCGATCAATCACTGTATCGTATGGTTTGAGGAATGTATCTTATTGATAAAGCCTAGGTGTCCAATACTATTACACAAAACAAAATCGATACATATTTTAAAGGTGTAACTGATCGCTTTCTATACTTGAAAGATATTCGAAAGAAACTATTATTGAAAGTCTTAATGGAACTAATAGCTAGAACCCAAAACAATGTTTTATCTCAAGGGGGAGATTATTGTAGTCCAATAGTCCTTTATGGACTAAGGAGTTCATGGATCGTATATAGTTCAAACGTGGTACATATAAATTAGTATTCCTCCTAGTGGGGTAATTATGAATTTGGTGACGGAAAATAATAAATTGGTCAAAGTATGAGGGTTCATTACCGGACAGTATTTTGAAGATGAATACCATAGTAGGATAGAACAGACAGTCTTTCACAGAAAGCCAATCCAGAACTTCCAACATTGCTGTAGTTGGCGTATATCTATTAAATTTGAAAATTAGACGCAAGCCTCTATTCTGTAATTTTTGCAATGCAGACAAACAATTTGCATCAAGTTTTGGTAGTAAAATAGCACAGTAATCGAAATGGGGTTTAATGATTGATTTGAAAACTGTAATAGAAGTCTGAAACGATAAGCAACTGTTTACATAGCCAAAGAAAAATCATTTTTTAGCAATTGCGAATATAATTGTAATGTTTTTTCATATTCAGTGCTTTTTTGTTGAACAAATACTGACTGTAGTAATTGTTTGGTGATAAATTTTCAGAGCGCAATACCACATCTTGGGTAAGATTCAATTAATGAAAAATCGCAGTTTTTGACAGCCAGTCACTCAGTTATGAAAAAAACAAAACTGTGAAGTATGAAAACAAGACTGTGAAGTAGAAAATAAAACTGCGAAATGTAAAGCGGCTTTAGTGATGAGGATAACAAAGTTATCAATCCATATTTCCAAGAACTCTTCAGATGGGATCACAGTTGATTTCTGTAAAATTTTATTGTTGAAAACTGCAGATCACTTGATAAACTGTTAAGGATTATTCAGTATGTGCAAGTGAATAATCATTTGAAGGATTACCTATTGTACCAGAGTATTTCATTTCATCATATGGGTAACGAGATTTATGCCGTTGAATCAATCGAGAATATTGCAAAAAAATTATACTTTACTATCCTTAGCAATACTTTTTTGTACATTAGTGGAAAAAGAAATAAAAAAATAAAGTTGACATTTTTTTGAGACACCTACAACATATAATGAGCGCCAAATTTCAGCTAGACAGTTACAAAGACTAGGACCTAGAAGAATCGTACTTTTACAGTGAATTCGTTGAATTCAAACGTTTCTAATGAAATCGCGAGTTGAATACACCCTACCTATACTAATCCTGGATACATTATTGATCTCGCAAAATGCCCGGAGTCGTCAAGGACAGCATTAAACATTTAGTTTTTGCCATTCCTTGACAATTAGCAAAAAAGTATATATTTGAAGTATTGACACGTGTATTGCAAATAATTTCAAATATTCTTTCCTCACCTATATTGTGTTCCCCCGTGAGTAAAGCCAAAATAATTATTCGTAGCCATTATCACATCTACACCAAATAATTGCGCAAACCACTAGAGACATCAGTACATGCGACAATTTCACTAACTAAGATAGGAAACGGAAATAGTTTGGATTCAGATGTTTACCACAGAACACAGAATTCTATATCTACCATTTAGCAGGGATGTAACATATGAGATGTCAAATATCTAGGACAAGTAGACCGAGTTGGGTTGTGGAAGACGTTTCCCATTTCTTCTAAATCAAATATGATATTAACAACAAAAACCAAATCTAACTTTACATCAAGAACTATTCATGGAGAGAGCCAATTTGATGACGAAATTGTTTCAGTGACGCTAACTTTGTCATCAAATTGGCTATACCTTCAAAAAGGTTGAATAACAACATATTTATGATGCACTGTTTGAAACCTTTGGTGTATTAATGAATATTACTGGAGTTTTTTCCCAACACCAAATCGTTATTTTTAACATCTCGACACGTGTTTCGATCACTGTAGTGAAATTATGTTTTGTAGGTATATATATTCAGGATCAACAGAGCTCAATTTAGCTACCAGTTTATTAATGTGTCCTTCCCAAGTTAATTTATGGTCTATTGTGACTCCTAAAAATTGTATTGATTAAATTTGTTGAATTGTTTGTCGATTCATTTTTATAGTTAAATCAGGATCGTAACTAAGATTTTTGGGTAAAAATGTCATAAAAAATGTTATAACTTGTTATTAACTTGTTCAATGCTGTAATGGACATTCCGTAAATGAATAAATAATAAACTAAAATTCCATGTTTGAAGGTTTCATGATGAATTGTCAGTGCCCCTCAAAAAACCGAGTGATGTGGACATCATAAGTCCTTTAAAAAACTTGATTCAGTCAAGGTACAGCACAGCAGATAAACCTGAAGACTGTTCAGAAGCGATCAATGAGTTTTCCAAACTCAGGAGTAATGCCATTTGGAAGGCCTTTGAAAAATATGAGAGTTCACTGGACATTATTTATGGGTATGATTCATCCTTTTATTAACGGTTTTTTCGCCTTGAGTAACAATACAATGATATAATTACAGATACTACGATCAAATAGTTGCTCTAGAAAGTAAAATACCCCCTCAGGAGTTGCAGGTTCCCTTCAAATGGAAAGATGCTTTTGACAAAGGAAATATTTTTGGAACCAGGATGAGCCTAAGTATGTAAATTAATGTGTTAATCTAGTTGGTAGTGGGTTTTTACTGACATGATTCAATATAAATTGAATCAAACTTACTATCTTGGAGATATTACTTTTAGCCATTCCTTCACTGAGCTATGAGAAAGTTTGTATACTCTACAACATTGCTGCTCTGCAGAGCGGAGTGGCTGCTATTCAAAGTGTTGAAAATGATGATGGATTAAAACTAGCTGCCAAGCTGCTGCAGGTAAATACAAAATTGCAGTTAGAACATATTTGTATATGATATATTTAGATAACACTTCATTGTGAAATTTTCACTAGACAGTTTACAAAACCACAATAATTGCAACATCTGTTTCATTTTCAGAGTATGAAAACAAGAAAGCTATTGTATAGCGAAACATGAAACAGTGTAGCGGTCGTTTGTGTTTTCGTGAACGGTTACATACATAATATTTGTTTCATATTATTTCATATTATTTCATTGGTGATCGATTGATGAATTTTTGTTGTAGCAATCTTCTGGAATATTCAATTACCTGAAATCTACAATAATGATTGCTATACAACAAGATCCCACTCCGGATTTGAACCCTGATACATTGGGAGCTTTGTCACAGTTAATGTTGGCACAAGCTCAAGAAGTATTTGTCCACAAAGCCATCCACGGTGAGTCGGATTATTTTTAAATGAAAAATATTATCGTGCAACTTTACTGTTATTAAATTTCAGGCAGTTAGTTATGTGGTGTTCTCTGGTTAATTTTTCTCACATTCAAATACCCTCTTTAGTTTATACTTGTAGGATACCAGCAAATCTACAAAAGAATACCTGAATAGTTAATAACTTTCAAAATACTAAAAACAAAATTGATTTGATACATATTTAACTTAAGTAAATTATATCATTTTCAAAGCTAATTATAATGACAAGTTTTCTTATCATAATTCATCTAACGAAATACTTATTTATACCTTTCGTTGTATCTCTAGTACAGGGGTTCCCAACCTTTTTGCACCTGCGTACCACTTGACATTTTGAGAAATATTGGCGTACCACCAAACCTAAATATTT